CCTGGCCTTGAAGACATCCAGGGATGGGGCATCCACAGCTTCTCTGGGCAACCTGCTCCAGTGCTTCACCACCATCAGAACAAACACCAAGTTCTGGTGGTTCTGAGCGTGTACGAGGAATGAGGGTGCTGGGGGCAGAGGTGAAGGCCGGATCCCGGTGTCTGTCCCACCCTGCAGCAGAGTGCAGGATGGACCCGCGGGGTGAGACAGCGGCGACCCCGCAGCGCTGCAGCTGCACGCGGCGGCCGAGCTGCCACGCTCATGCGTGGGAAGGAGGGAGCAATATCCAACTATGAAAGAAAACATACAGTCGGTGTAAAACCCTGATACGGGTGGTGTTTTACTCCGAGGGTTCTTCACCGTGTCCTGTCAGTCCCCTGAGATGACCTAAAAGATGTCACACGGGCGTGAGACCCGTGAGCGTCACGCTGGGTCAGAGCAGCGCTCCCCGCCCGTGACAGCAGCCAGCACGGTCACAGGGAAGCACAGCAAGACCGTGCTGGACGACCTGCGGGGGATCTCCTCCTGGAAAACAATCCTTGGGGGTGGACTTGAACAGTGCACCACGAGGTCCAACCTACCCTACGAATACAACTGAAGCTGTTGCAGCTCTAGCAGCTTCCACCCAATAAAACCCTTCATGATTTAAAATACGTATTTTTGGACAATTTATGTTCGACCTATGAAGCTGAAATCCTCGATGAATAAATCACACAGGTAATGCATTAAGCAGCAATTGCATCAGAAGACAGAAGTGCCCTAACGCAGAACCTTCCCTCGTTTACAGGCTCTAATGAGCAAAGCTTGTGCCTGGCACGGGCACCGCTACGACAAGCGCACTGGCTGTCTCAGGGCACGTACTTCCTACTTCTTCCTCCTTCCATGAAATCATGCCGACTGAAATAACCCTGAGGAAACCTCCTCCCTGCCTTTTCAGCGACCAGAAAGCAGTGAGCGAGAACAATTGCCAAGCAAGCCCGAAAGCAGAAAGGTGACGGGACCCCGCACAGATACGGCGTCACAGCCCGCCCCGCCCGATTCCAGCGCGGCTCGCCGTACCTTCCGGCATCTTGGTGCCCCATGCAGACATTCATCAGCGCGTTGCAGACGAAGCTGTAGCGGTTGGCCGCGTTATCGCTCAGCATCTTGCCCAGCATTGAGTAGTTAATGCTGTGAGCAGAAGGGTTCTCGATAAAATCTAGCATGAACTCCGGGTCCCACAGCAAATTGGAATTTGAGGGCTGAACATTGCTGTATATGGTTTGCTTCACCTTGGAACAGGCACTACTGAGGACCAAAACAAGAGAAGAGTTGCCAAAACACGTACTCGGCGGGAATGCTGTTGGCCACACCGTGTGGGTTCGAAAATCCCTGTTTGGGTACCGTTCTGTACACGCCCCCAAGCTCATTTCTGATACGGACTGCCAGAAAACGAGGCAGATACACCAATTCCCTTCCAGTTTTCATGCCAATCAAGTCTCGCATTCCCACATCACTTCTAGGACACCTCTGTGACGGAAACTGGAAGCAGCTGGACAAGGACCGCACATGCGTTCCTCAGGAGCAGTAACCTCCTGCCTCTGCAGCGAGCTGCTACCATGCTTCCTAACACTGCTCCCCCTCGTCACGTGTTAGGACACTGGCTGAACCGTGGGAAGAAGAATTAGTTAAGGAAAAATGAGAACATTCATCTAAATTAAAACATCCAAGTTTGGTAGTACTGTGGCAAACAGAGACCTTTTTAAAAGATAAAATCAGTAAACAGAGAAAATATACTTAAAGGTCGTATTTTGACATTAATAATTACGACAGAAGGCCAGGACGTGTCCCAGGCGGGGAGTGCCCGCGTGTCAACTGGCTTTCTTCGGGGGCACCATAAAGGTGCTGGTGCAGAAGGTGAGTTCACGCGCGAAACGCTCTCAGGAGCGTTTGCCTCGAGCACTGGGGTTCACACTGCAGCTGGCAAAGCATCCACAGGCACAAACCTCACTCAGTACCCCAACTGGGAAGACTTCCTCATTGCCAAAAACCCACCTGTTAACTGAAATTAACTTTAACACGTGAAACCTTTGGAGCTTTTTAGAAGTCCGGTGGCCCCGGGATGAAAAGAGAGAGGAAGCACCGTGCCGCCGGGAAGGCCCCCGAGACCCCAGGAAGGAGGACGACGTGCGCCTGGACACGGGGCCGGGGGGCACCTGGGGACACCCTGACACCACACGGCCCTGCACTCCGCTGCTCCCCAGCGGGACGCTCCAGCGCAGGAGGGAGAGCCCATTAGCAGGATAATTGTCTACAAGAAGGGCCGTCCACCCTGTGCTCTAGCAGGCAGCGGAGCAGCACGGGAAGAAAACCCACCGGCAGAAGAGAAACACCCCCGAGCTGCGCCGCCAGCGCTGTGCCAAGGGGCTCTCGTGCACCGCGTCCCCACGCTCCAGCACAGCGCCCACCTACACCCACCCACGGGGCGTAGACAGCAAGGCCGGGCACCCAGCGACACAACCGCGCGTGTGCGAGCGACGCAGCCCCTGCCACCGGCCGGCACGGGAAGCAGCGCCGGGGGAGTGGTCAGAGATAACATTTTAAAAAAAGAAGTGAAGGAATGATTCAAAAAAAGGAAGTTTGGCGAACACAACTGACGCACTGAGCACACTCGCCCGAAACATGCAGCTCGCCCAGTAAAACCCCGCCATGAGAAGCGCCGCGGACGCGAGGAGCAGCCGTCTGCGAGGCACTGCACGCGCCGAGGGTGAGTCTCAAATTTCCACATTTACGAACTGCGCGTTACGGTCGCTTCGAACCGACTGGGGCAGAGAGCTGCGCTTCCAGGGCCTAGAAAGGAGCTAAAAAGGGCGCCGTGTACAGCCAGCTGGCAGTGGCTTCGTTTCAACAGCAGCAAGGACACAAGAAATGGGGCGCAGGGCTGTCGCCTGACACACAGCAGCTCAAAAGGGTGCACACAGGTGGTACTGCCAGCCCTCAGAGGTTTTCTAACTCCACTGCTCTGAAGCGGCGGCTTGAATCGCGGGCTGAATATCGCACGTTAAATACATGATTTAATACCTCAAGGATCTCTCTATGACTAGGTGATGTTTCCACTTGCTACTGTAGGTTAGTATGAATAAAAACGTCAATTTTCATTGCGTTACTGCAACTTAGGCTTTAAGCAGAAAAATGAACACACAGCTAAGAGAGTTCCGCAGTTCTGTATTTCACAGTTTCCTAGAGTTTCTCATACTAAGTGCTACTGTTTCCACGTGTCTGCAGACCTATTAGAACAGTGAGATCATTGCTGAGAACTCCTTCCCTGCTGCCCGTGAAATGACAACCACAAACCTGAAGTAGGCAAACCAAAACCCGGTATACAGACCGGGAGGGGAAACGGTAACCAAGCGGTCTGTAAGTCTCCCAAGATGCGGATTTGCACTCGGAAGGTTTCCACTCTCCCTCTGAAAAGGGCCAAAAATACAGCAGGCAGCTGAATTTTTTTTTTCATTTAAAAATCAAGGAACCGAACATTTGAGCATAAAACTCCCCAAAGTCAGACGTGTCCGTGCCTCTCCCCACATGAGAGGAAACACTCTACAGACCACTGCAGCCGCGCCAGACAGGGTTTCGGTGGTTTTCCACCCAACGCCGTGGGTACCACAGCCACTTCGCTGCACATTACAGAAACCAAAGCAGTCACGTCCCGGTCCGGGCAGGCCGAG